GAACTACGGCTCTGTGTAGTAAATGCCGCTCCATCTGAACGCACGTGCTGGAGATTTACTACTAATCACAGGAGTGCCTTTAATGACGATATGCGCATGAAAATCGCATTCGATTTTTTGCACAGCCCCACTATTAAGTATGAGTGGAATGATCATATGCTATAGCCACTGTTCTCTCTGAAAAAGCACAACAGTATCATTTAGAACGGATGCTGATTGGTTCAGCTGTGCCTGTCACTCACCACTGACTCCATATCCTGTAACGTGATTGGCTTCTGCAGCATCATCTTGTAAAAGGGCCGGATGAAGAATGCTGTGCAGACGAATACAACAGAACCATTTAAGAGCAACATGTATACAATGTTTTGTTACATTTAGACATTGGTTGTCTTTAGAAAATCAGTCCGCATGCGTGCAGTGTGTCCGCAGCCAAAGTCAAATACTGTGAATATGAGTTGTGGGTATTTATATTGGTCTTGACAGGTTACTCACCATCCAACAGCTTCCCGTGATAAACGGCCATCCCAGCCACCCGGCCGATGAACTTAAAATAGGACAGGTGGTCCTCATTACACAGACCTGAGTTGGGGTTGATCTGTAGGGTGTAGTTATCCCTGCAACATTCACATTGCACTATTTAAAATCTAATTTCTGATCGATTGTACAACGTTCTTATCTAGCACAACACACAAGAGTGAAGTGAAGGTGAAGTGAATATAAAAGCGGCATCACTCACGTGGCAGAATACTCAAACAGCCCATAATACGGGTTGAACATTTCCTTGGAGATCAGGAAGAACCATTCCCTGGCCACGCCCCCGTAGTCCAGCCCCTTCTCCCCCTCAAACTCCACCCAGAGGCGGGCCTTCAGCAGGTCAGCGCGTTTGACGGACAGAATGCGCCGGTACGAGTCCTCCAGAACGGCGTTACGTCTCACATTCAGCTCAAAGCGGTTCGGGATGTCGGCCTGGAGAGCGTAGAAAAGATTGATTTTGATTTTAGATTTACTTATCCATCAGGATTTGACTGGATCAAACATGTTAGGTGATTAAACGATTAGTTGATATTATAATTCCCAGCCCACTCAGAAGAAAAGCTGATTCAGGGGCAAGAAAAGTTTTATATGTTTTCATGACAGATTATGAAAACAAACAATGCATGTCTTTAAAATCATGTGCATTGATGAATTGTGCTAAATAAGACCAGGAATGTTTATTAAGAGCATAAATAGGGTCATTTTTGATTTCATGTTGCCTTTAAAGTCATGAAATCAAGTCTATATGGCACTACTGAAGAAAGGTGTCTGCTTTAGGATGTTCTGCAGGTATTTATTAATTCAACTAATTCAAAATCCACATCAAAAGTCACTTTGTACTAGATCTTTTAGATCTTAAAATTGCATTAATTTTAGGAAAGCCATAAAAAGCTTGACTGTAAAATAAAATACTTTGTTGTTATTATGTCATACTGATATATAAAATTCAACATTTTTGGCCAAATTGTGTGGCTGTACAAACAAGCACAGCAAACCTGTAGCTAAAAGAGATAAAAAAATAAATAATAATTATTATTATTGTGATAACTGTGGCGACTCGAACAAACTGGGTTAAAATGAATTGCTGCTCTTCCATAAACCCCAACTTAGTTGGTCTAGATGTTGAGATCTGAATGGGACAGGAAAAACCAAAAAGCCTGAGAAGGACAGTGACGTACCGGTTTCTTGAGTTTCTTCCGGAAGTACTCATACTTCTGTTTATAGTCTCTGGAGTAAGGCACGGCCTGAAATAAAGCAGAACACAATCAGTTCGCCAATAATCCACGAGCTCTTATCAGATGCTGAGCGCTCCTGACCCGACAGAGATCCTTCAACTCATCCTGGACAAATATAACCTCCCCTTCCCCTCGTGACACACAAACTCCTTACAGGAAACCAATGGGAAGAAATGTACAGGGTTTCAGGCTCAGAACACTTTTAGAAACAAGATATGGCAAAGATCATTGTGCGTTTCAGCAGTCTCTCTCAATATGATCCATTAATGGCCGTGTCTGTTGGCTCAGTCAGGACCTTTAACAGAAACAGAAAACCACTTACTGGACCAGTGATGGCTGAATTCTGTAGCCTTGGATCTTCCCACTGTGTGGTTTTTGTATCTAAAAAAGCAAAACAAAAATTAAATAAAAATTGGTATAAATAAAACAACAAGGTAATAAATAAAATACAACAAATTAATTAATAAAATAATAAATAAATACATTTAAAAAACAAAATAAATAAAAATTAGTATAAAAAGTTATTAAAAATGGTTATAAATAAAATAAAGTTTATAAATATAACAGATTTTTTTTAAATAGTATATAAAATGTAAATAAATATAATAAATAATTTGTAAAAAAAATATATAGAAAAGTTATAATTAAAATAACATTTACAAATATAACATATTATATACAAATAAATAATTAAATAGTAAAAAAAAATAGAAAAGTTATTAAAAAAAGGTGATAAGTAAAATAAAGTTTACAAACATAATATAAAATATTTGTAAAAATATTATATTATAAATCGAATATAATATTTAATATTTTAATATATGTAATATTATATTAATATATAAATTTAACAATTAAAAAAAAGATTTGTACATATCTGTTACAGATTCCTAGAAGTTTTTTGAATTGGCATGCATATGAATGTGCCACTTACTGTGATCGATGTAGAAGATTCTGCCGTCACTATGTACTCGCTCCTCCCAACCAGGCTATAGGAGACAACACACACACACACACACACACCCCTTTTCAACCTGTCCTGAACACCACATCAATAAAATCATATTAAGCACATGACCTCATCCTCTGATTATGACATCATCCGTCTTACCGGCAGTGGGCCGAGGTCAGTGGGGTCAAGGGAGACTCTCCTCCTCACGTGCACGGGAACCTTCAGCCAGGGGTCGTCCTGTGATGGAACAGGAAACAGGATGGCAAACACAGGAAGTACATTTCAGAGTGAACAATGGTGCAATCAAACAACGCACAGGAAAAGCAAAACAAACACTTATTGTAGTAATATACCATGCTATTACCATGAAACAGCATCATGTCTTGTTTGTGTCTGTCTTACCCATGTGGTGGTCTTAGTGTTGTGGTCTATGAAAAAGGGGCGTCCGTTTGGAGCGCTGCGCACCTCCCATCCGGCCGGCATCAGTCCCGCGTGCTCGGGCGTGTGAGCGCGTGTGTGCTGCGGCGACACATTCGGGGAGAGCGGCGGCGGAGCGTAGCCCGAGGGATTCTGGGAGAGAGACATGACTCCGCCTGCCACCGCTGCTGCTGCTGCCTCAGAGGGCGGCTGTATGAGCTGAAATACACAGGTCAAAGGTCAGGGGTTTGAGAGATCAGTCGGAGAAATATTCCGCCGTATTATGCCACAAATTAGGACTGCACGCTGGTTTAACAGTTGAAAATAAAGAAATTAAGAAAGCCACAAAAAGTTGAACTGTAAAATAAAATTATTGTTATTGTTATTATAAATTATTACATGATTTTTCTTATGTTTTTACAATGAAATATTACAATAGTATTTCTTATTTCATTTAATATTTCTGTTTAGTAATAGTAAAATTCATAGCAATTTAATAATAATAATAATAATAACAGTTATAATTGGTCAAATTGTGCAGAAGTACAAACAAGCACAGCAAACCTGTAGCTAAAAAAAAATGAAATAATGATAATAATAATAATAATTATTATTATTATAGTTCTTGTTGTTTTTGTTATAATAATAATAATTAAAATTATTATTGATATTATTATTATTATATAGACATAAAAACAAGCACAGCAAACCTGTAGCTAAAAAAAACTAAATAATGATAATAATAATAATAATTATTATTATTGTTATAGTTCTTATTGTTTTTGTTATAATAATAATTATTATTATTATTGTTATAATAATAATAATTATTATTATTATATAGACATATAAACAAGCACAGCAAACCTGTAGCTTACAAATAATAATAATTGTTGTTATAATAATAATAGTAATTATTATTATTGTTGTTGTTGTTGTTGCTGTTATTATAACTATATAGTCATAATGATATGTAAATCATAACATTTTGGGCTAAATTAACAACAACAATAATAATAATCATAATTATTATTATTATCATTATTGTTATTATTATTTATACTGATAAGTAAAATCACAACATTTTTGGCCAAATTGTGCAGTCCTTCAAACAAGTAGAGCAAACCTGTAGCATGCATAAATAAATAACTGTATGTTGTTGTTGTTGTTATATTGTGCAGCCCGACAAACAAGCTATAAATAAATAAATAATCAATCACATTTGATATTGCAACTTGTGGTTTTAATCAGAAAAAAAAAACTTTTTTATATTTTCCCCCTCAAACTATGCAGCACTACCACAAACGCTGTTGATGGAGCTTTCTCCAGAAAGAGAAGTATTCAACCAGGACTGAGACGTACCTGAATGAGAGGCCGTGTCCAGGTTGTCATCCTGCTGTTGTGATTGACGTAATACATTCTCCCTTTACTGTCCTGCTTTTCCTCCCATCCCGGAGGCAGCCCGGCAGACGTGGGTAATAACTACAGGGAAGAACAGAAACCGATAAAGTGAGTAACGAAATGCAGAGAGGGGTGAAATGAGGAGAGCGAAACACGGAAACAATCCATTACAGATCGTCCCGTTTCGGTTCATAAATAGCCATCAGTTAGCAGTTCGCCTCTCAAACACAGCAGCTGAGGTGATGTATTGCAAGGTTCAGGGCATGCTGGGAAATCTGGAGCAGCTAAGATTACACATCATGTGCTGAGAGACTGAGAAACACTGAAACTGGAGCACACTGCGAGCGCTCGGTCTGGACTCGGACAGACGGAGATATTTATGAAGGTTTTAATGCTCTCACCACGGGGTGAACAGGATGCTCTTCCACCGTCAGGGTCTGTCCACTTCCTCTGCGGCTGCCGTGACCCTGCGGCTGATAAAAACACAATCTGAGATGCAACTACACACTCTGTTGTGTTACATATCGTTTATACTACTAGCTTTAAATGTAACAATGTAACAAGCTGCAACATATTCATGTTCCATTTGGATGCTGATTGGTCAATACGGTGTTCTGCTAAAATTCCCAAAACGGTATATTGCGGCACAGAACTCATAAAGGTCAGCTATTAATCTTAGTTTAAATGTCGGATATACTAGTGGAAGGACAAAGGTTCTGAGGTTATGATGAATTATGAATATAGTCAATGTTGAACTCATCAATGTGTCACTTGGAGCATCAAAAATCAATCATATTAATCACTATTTTGCACCCGTCACAAAAACATCAAGACACATTGTGATTTTTGTATCAGTGGCTGGATGTGAGGAATATTTATTTCTTGAGTGTCACCACATAAATTTGGGATCTTACATAAATGTCTGTAAGAAGTTAGATCATTAGAATGACTTTGATTTGAATTGCTTGTGTCACTTACAAGTTTGGGGTTGGAAATATTTTTTCAATGTTTTTAATAGTCTCTTCTGCTCACTATAGCTGCCTTTATTTAAAATAACAGTAAAAACAGCGAAATATTATTACAATTTAAAATAGCTGTATTTTATGTGAATATATACTAAAATGTAATTTATTTCTGTGATCAAAAGCTGAATTTTCAGCATCATTACTGCAGTCTTCAGTGTCACATGATCTTCAGAAATCATTCTAATATGCTGATTTGCTGCTCAAGAAACATTTCTTATTATTATCAATGTTGAAAACAGTTGTGCTGCACAATATTTTTGTGGAAACCGTGATATATTTAAATATTTAGGTTTCTTTGATGAACAGAAATTTCAAAAGAACAGTGTTTTATTGAAATGGAAATCTTTTGTAACATTATAAATGTCTTTACTGTCACTTTTGATCAATTTAATGCATCCTTGATGAATAAAAGCATTGATTTCTTTATTTTATTTACTTGTCAAAGACTCCATCGGTCTCATTCATGAGTGAGTGTGTGTGTGTGTGAGAGTGTGTGTGTGTGTGT